TATTTGTTGTCATATAAACTTGATCATCTAATTACCAGTAACAAGTAGGTTTGAATGTTATAAAAATATTAATAGAACTTCTCAAGATACTTGTTATAGGTTATGCTTCCAATTAAATTTGAAAACAATAGATTTTGTTCCCTTTTTAAACATCTGTCAGTTTAATTTCTCTCCTGAATTTATTTTTTATTTTGCTGTTATTTCCAGCCATGTTTAAGATTAATCCATCTCTGTCTGATGACAGAGGCATGTTGTTCCTTTGAAAGCAAGATATTCCGTTTTGAATCTGTAAGTTATTTAATTGCACTTTATTTCTGGATTATGCCTGATAACCATAGTTAATCTTAGAGGTAGCCAAGTGGACCCTCTTTTGGGATATATATTTTTTTATTCCTGTGTAGGGTTTTCAGTTTCAGTTTGGTTCCTTTAGAAGTGTGGTTCCTTGCTTTGAAACATTTTTGCCTTTGAGGTATGGAGTTATCGAGAAAACTGATCATACAGTTGTGGTGACACCATCCTAATATGTTGAAGTAATATTCTTCTGTATATCCAAAAGCAATTACCAATCCAATATTTTCCTATATGAAGACAGTGCATAGTAAATATGAAGGCTTTTACTTTGTGTATCTAAAATTTTGGTGCATGTTATTGTAAGTGTTTATGCTAAGATTGACAAAACTCTTTTGTTTATGATAAATTTTAATACACTATTTGTTTTTTCCTACTATTTGACTTCCACTAGATATGTAGTAAGCAGTTACTAGGTATATTTTTTCAGTATAGTATATATATATTTTTTTTTTTTTCTACATTATAAGCTAGTGTTAGAAATTTTAAAGTAAAAGTTGAGGATTGTTTGCAAGTATTGGTTAAATTAATTTTTATTTATTATATACATATAGTACGAAGCTTTGTATATTTTGAGTCCCGATGACGATGGCGAAGATCAGACTCAGTTAGTTAAGCACGCATCAACAGTGAAGCGAAGATTTCGAGAATTTCTCACTTTGCAGTCTCGTCTTGAAGACAACAAAGTAACCTGTAAACATTTGAAAGGTACAGAATGACTTCTTACTACAGTTATTTAAAATTGATTTAAAAAAATTCATTTAATGACATATGGTTTTAACAGCAGTACAACATGCAAGAGTATAATATGGCTAAGATTCAGTGAACTGTATTCTGAGAATGACCAGCTAAATAAAATACTTTTTAATGTGTCAGACTGCAGTAGTAAATTTATACGTATTTGAAGATGTTAAAGATTGTACAAAATTGGACAGTTATTTAACATCAAATGCAAAGATTTTATATATATAATCCTCCTGCTTACCAACTATTTCTATTGTTTACTTTGACATTGTTTTTCCAAAATATATTGATTTCTTGAGTATTTCCGTGGTCAGGAAAGTGTTCGGTTTTTTAAGGGATCAAAGGACCAAGCAAATGGTTAGCAACTCCGTTTTATGCATTGGACAAAAAGAACATAGAAGAAAGGAGAGTATTTCTTCAGTCTTATCTGGTGAAATTGTGCAGTCGAGAAGTAGTTGCTAACTCTCCTGAGTTGAAAGAGTTTCTTGCCTATGGTATTGATGCCAGTATTGCTTACGTAAGGAAAGCCAATGAAGTTGGTGTTCCAAGGATTGACAAAGTAGGTTCTTCAACTTATATCTGTGTTTGCAAAACTACTCTCAATTTTCATAAGTATTCTGTCTAAGATTTTGTGAAACTTAAAATTAGTACTACTATCATGAGTATGTGCATGTTACAAAGCATTGTTTGTGCTTAGATTTCTTTGATTAGCTGTACAGTTTTTGAATTAAATTGTATGGTGGCACGCAACTGTCATAATTAAACAGTTTTGTTTTGACACACTTTTTTTTTTCTCTACTAAACAACTTAGGCACTTGCTCCTCGGGGCAAAACATTTCATCAAAACCTCCTTTTATTAAAATGTTATGTGTGTTCATGGCAAAATGTCGTATCCTTGTATACTGTATATATTGTTTTCCCTCAAAAAAGGTTTTTAACAGAAGAAGTCATAATTTCACTGCTATAATATATTGAGACAACCATTTATATTTTAGTAGTTTCTAAAGAATTATGCAACTTTACCAAAAAGTCAAAAATGACTTTCTTGGAATATAGAAAATTGTGGGAAACAGAACAATGAAACTACATATTTGGTATTCATAATGGAAGTTAGACAGAGCCCAGTTTTAATCTGATGCAATTCAATGTCTGATTGGTTGTTGTAGTCTGTAGTTATGTCCTCTGAATGTTAGCTGTCTTGTTCATGGAGAAGAGAAAAAAAAGTACCATCAAATACATACAGATTGGTTCAGTGGGCTAAAGAAATAATTTGCTTGTTAATTGATCTGTTGGAATAAAAAGAATGTCTAATCTAGCAAAACCAAGGTTGAATAGTATTTCTTACACTAGTAGTCAAATGTATTATAGGTTGAATGGTATTTCTTACACTAGTAGTCAAATGTATTATAGGTTGAATGGTATTTCTTACATTAGTAGTTAAATGTATTATAGGTTGAATGGTATTTCTTACACTAGTAGTTAAATGTATTATAGGTTGAATGGTATTTCTTACACTAGTAGTCAAATGTATTATAGGTTGAATGGTATTTCTTACATTAGTAGTCAAATGTATTATAGGTTGAATGGTATTTCTTACACTAGTAGTTAAATGTATTATAGGTTGAATGGTATTTCTTACACTAGCAGTCAAATGTATTATAGGTTGAATGGTATTTCTTACACTAGTAGTTAAATGTATTATAGGTTGAATGGTATTTCTTACACTAGTAGTTAAATGTATTATAGGTTGAATGGTATTTCTTACACTAGTAGTTAAATGTATTATAGGTTGAATGGTATTTCTTACACTAGTAGTTAAATGTATTATAGGTTGAATGGTATTTCTTACACTAGCAGTCAAATGTATTATAGGTTGAATGGTATTTCTTACACTAGTAGTCAAATAGTTCTTTCAATACTTTATATATAATTTGTTCATAGTGGAAACATTACAATGTATTTCGTAATGGGAATTAGGTATGACAAAAACAAAGTATAATTTAGACTCAATTCATTGTGTGATTTAATCTCATAATTACACACCTTACTTGTCCATATTTTATCTAAAATTTTTTAAATATTTTGTCATGACAATTCTCTTTGTAGGGTAATAGGTATATTTCAGTACAGCACTTCATCTATAATAGTGAAGAATGGATTTATTCAAACTGTTTAAAGCTAACTGGTTATTTCTTTATGTGTATTTCATCCTGTATCTGTTTCGAATTCCTTTTTCCAATTCATATGAAGCTTTCAAGAGTGTTTCATTTTTATTTTAGTATCTTGAATATCACTGATCTTCTGTTCGATAACTATTTACTGAATTTAAATTAGGTGAAATATTTCAACATTTTACTTTTTTTGTTCCTACTAGTAAAGTTTCAATAAATTTCTTTCTTTTTCTGAATGTTCCAGTTTCTTGTTTTTCTTTACATAGTTAAGGTTTTCTCTCTGTATTTCTGACAAATTACATTTCTACAATCTTTTACGTATGAAAAAAAAAAGATATTTACTCGTGCTCTGTTACAAGATTGATCTTTATAACAAAAATCATTTACTAAATGTTGACAAACTCTGTGGTAAAGAAATTAAACTTAATTTAAGATACCAGGAGGATATACATATAAAATACATGTCATTACTTAAGTTATTTTGTTTGCTCTTAATATTTAGTCAGTTTGTTGCTTGTTTCAGTTAGAAAACATAAAAACGTCTCTTTTTTTTTTACTTAATTATAAGGAGCCTCACTTCAAAAATATTTTGTCTAGTATATTATTTTTGAGATTTCACTGATTAACAACTATTATTTTCAGATGTTTGTTCGGGGAGTGAAGGGGGCAATAGATTTAATCCGTACGGCACTGCCTAGTCTTCCGCAGGACATGAATGAAAACATTCCAGATTTGCCAGGGGAAAAGTATGGTCAAACAAAGTCACTGTTGCCTGTTTTTGGAAGATCACGTGCAGAAGAACGTCGTCTCGACATTGAATTTCAGTATCTAGACGAGAAAGTAAATGTTGTCTTTTGCATATCCTTCTTATTTCCTTCACTTAACAGCTAAATATCTGTGGATGAAACTTACTGAAAAATTAATGTTAAACATACAGATGAAATAAAGACATCTCTTGACTTCTGACCCTTCATCACGTAATTTGACAAAACTTTATAAGAATGACATGTGGACAAGTGCTTGACATGAAAGCAGTGAAGTTGCCATTTCATAGCAACACCTTCTTTGTTTGTTTTTTGTGTTTTTTAAAAGGCACACTGCTGTTTTGTATAATGAACTTTTGTAGATATTAAACTAATTATACAAGCTGTATATTGATTAATTCCTTGTAGGAACTTTAGTGATATCTTAAGAGTGAGGTGATTCTTTCGTTAAGACAGTTCTCCAGAGGTTTTTAGATTCTATAGTATAGTACTTCCATGGCTGCAAGGTGAAAACATAAGTGTCGGAAATCTTGGCAGCCTCACACGTATAATTGTAATGAAAGAATGAGCATAAGAAATATTTCACCAACTAAAGCCATACTGAGCTTCATTGGGTGACGTTCTCTTGCATCAATGAAGACAGGCTGATGATAAATTTTAAATACTCAGTCAGATTTCAGCTGATCATACTGAGCTTCATTGGGTGACATTCTCTTGCATCAATGAAGATAGGCTGATGATAAATTTTAAATACTCAGTCAGATTTCAGCTGATCATACTGAGCTTCATTGGGTGACATTCTTTTGCATCAATGAAGACAGGCTGATGATAAATTTTAAATACTCAGTCAGATTTCAGCTGATCATACTGAGCTTCATTGGGTGACGTTCTCTTGCATCAATGAAGACAGGCTGATGATAAATTTTAAATACTCAGTCAGATTTCAGCTGATCGTACTGAGCTTCATTGGGTGACAAAGCTCAGTATGATCAGCTGAAATCTGACTGAGTATTTAAAATTTATCATCAGCCTGTCTTCATTGATGCAAGAGAACATTGGGATGACGTTCTCTTGCATCAATGAAGACAGGCTGATGATAAATTTTAAATACTCAGTCAGATTTCAGCTGATCGTACTGAGCTTCATTGGGTGACATTCTCTTGCATCAATGAAGACAGGCTGATGATAAATTTTAAATACTCAGTCAGATTTCAGCTGATCATACTGAGCTTCATTGGGTGATATTCTCTTGCATCAATGAAGACAGGCTGATGATAAATTTTAAATACTCAGTCAGATTTCAACTGATCATGGTGCCTTATCCAAAGTAAATCTAATGTGTTTCATATATCACAGCTTTGTAGAAATGACCCTTAGATAATATATATTATTATATAATAGTGGACACATACAGTTTCTCTGAACTTTGTAGAAATGACCCTAAGATAGTAGATTTCAAGATAATGTACATGTATGGTCATTAAGTTACTCACACTTTTCTGAACATTATGCTTCAGAAGGTTGAATGATCATTTTATATACGATAAATCTTGTTAAATAGTTTTTCACTGAATTCTTCCAAAATTTCATTGAGTAAGTGGTTGCTATCAGTACTTAACTTATGTATAATTCAGGAAGGCATGTTATTCCATTGGTCTTTGAACTGTTGATTTATGTAATAACACCTTTTTTTGTAGATTTTGGTTTTTCTCTCCAAAATGACCTGGTGGTTAGGGTGCTCTCTACTCACAATCAGAGGGTTCGAATCCCCATCACACCAAACATGTTATCCCTTTCAGCAGTGGGGGCATTATTAGTGTGATGGTCATTCTCTCTATTCATTGGTAAAAGAGTAGCCCAAGAGTTGGCAGTGAGTGGTGTTGACTTCCCTCTAGTCTGTCACCACTAAATTAGGGATGGCTAGCCCAAATATCCCTTGTGGAGCTTTGCATGAAATTCAAAACAAACCATACCAAACTCTCCAAAACTTTCAGGAAATGCTCACATGTATTTAAAATGTGTTATTACCTCTCTCTAAACTTAAATTTTTTTTAAAATGAATTTTGTCATTTTGTATTAAAAAAACAACAACCAGATTCAAAGAAATTTCACTTAATGCTCTAGAAGGTAGAACCAAGTTCATGAGATGTATCAAAATCGTTGTCCTTGGCCTAAGGTATAAATAAAAAGTTAAGATGGTTTCATTGTCATTAGGTGAAGTCACTTTAATGTTAATACCAATATTTTGCTTCAAAATTTGGTTGAATGACAGTCTTAGTTGTGCATGAAAATTAAACGGACTCCAAAAAATGTGCTTCACATAGGTCAAAGTAACTTTCTCATTTAATTTGTTGTTAAATTTGAGCAAGTTATAGGTTAATACAGTGCTTCTCAACTGGGTGAATGGTTGGTTCACCCAGGGATTAATGAGATCAGAATCAGGATGAATGAGTATTATCAATTATACAACAAATTCAAGAGCAAAAAAGTCATTAGTTATTATTATATATTCTAGTTGTAGTTTGATAAATACATTAATTTTTGTTGTATTCATTCTAGTTGTAGTCTGATGTATATTTAAGTCATTATGCAGAATTTTACATTTTAATTTAGTACATTTTTTCGAACTGGGGTGAGATGTTGTGAAAAACTTATTTGGTGAAAGATATTGGAAAAGGTTGAGAAACACTGTTCTAATACATCCAACTTTTATGTGTAGGATATCAAATAAATGGCATCACAAACATCATTTTCTAGTTTGTGTGTTGCTAAACTTATTCATGTTACAGGTCTTGATTTAAATGTGGACAATCCTGAAGTTCAGATTGGTCAAGTTGTTTTATTACATGATTTTTGTGGCCATACTTGATTGGTTGACTCTACTATGTGTAATACTGTATTGCACCTATTCTACTAATCAGTGCATTGACCACCTAATGGAATGACTTGTCACATAACTGCTCTTAGGATAGTTGCTAATTCCAGCATCCAGGTGTATCATTAGGGATAAAGACCAGAACCTTCTTACACACACACACACACACACACACACGTATATACATAGGACAGGTTTTAAATTAATAGATTATTAATAAAATTTTATCTGCTACTTACAAAAATGTAATTAAAAGAAATGTTATTACTTATGCCTTATGTCTTACTTATGTTATTACTTATGTTTTGTCTTACTTATGTTATTACTTATGTTTTGTCTTACTTATGTTATTACTTATGTTTTGTCTTACTTATGTTATTACTTATGTCTTATTTATGTTATTACTTATGTCTTACTTATATTATTATGTATGTCTTATGTTATTACTTATATTATTACTTATGTCTTATTTATGTTATTACTTATGCCTTACTTATGTTATTACTTATGTCTTATTTATGTTATTACTTATGTCTTATGTCTTACTTATGTTATTACGTATGTCTTATGCCTTACTTATGTTATTACTTATGTCTTACTTATGTTATTACATATGTCTTATGCCTTACTTACGTTATTACTTATGTCTTACTTATGTTATTACTTATAATTTAGAGTTTTTCTCTGTTTACTCTGAGCTCATTGAATATTCTCCAACGTACTGTTCTGCACTCTTAACAAATGTAGGTACATTAATAACAAAATTTATAAACCACCAAAATTCAACAGAGAGGTATTTAATGTTTTTACCGATACTTTCTCTGAAGATTTTCATTAAACATAATATATTCGGTGGAAAACAACAACAAATATTTAAAGCACTTCTTTTAATTTTTCCAGACAACCAATTTGGAACACCAGATGTACAAGTACATAAACAGTTTTGAGTCAGCCTCATCTCCCGATATATCACCCCCTCTGTCTCCTCAAAATCAGCCACGGACTCTGTCCCTTCTAAGTCGAAACAAGTCTGGAAAAGACAAACTTCTGTCAAGAATTGATTCAAAGACGTCTATGGAGAGTAGTAGAATGCTTCTCAGTGAAAGCAGTGTACAGGAGAGTGTGGATAAAGTAGAAAGTAAGTTACGCATAGTCCGTAGCAGAGGCTTATCTATTGAAACACAGTATTAAATATATATGTATGTATTTATAGACTCGGACGTTACATCTTTTGGAGATTTTAGGAGTAATTATATTCTATACTTTTTATTACAGATTAATGTTTGCGTAGTAACATCTTTTCTCTGATATTTTTTTGAACTAAGAAGAAATATTTTCTTCAAATATCCATTTGTATGATATCCTCAATCTTTTAAAATAAACTAATTTTATAAATATTTGTATTTCATTCAGATTGAGAATGTTTAGAAACATTTTAAATTAGAACCAATTTTGATTATAAAAATGTTATATGAAATTATATGTCACTGCAGTAATTCATTGTTATACAAGTTTCAGTGAAACTTCTAAATATAATATATATATATACACATACTCTCTCTTATCTATTTTATATATATATTCAGTCAGAACAAGTAATTGTGGGTTGTGTCTGTTTAATCATATGAATGTGGGTTAAGACATGATAACTGGATATACAGGTCTTCCTAATCTTCATAGGTGATCAGTGTAGTTCTTTTAAAAGATTAAAAATATACTTTTTCTTAAATATTCAAAACGAATGGTGTTGACCCGATAAATTTTTAATTTAATGCATCCTAAAATTTTCTTCAAAATATGGCATGTAAAATGACATAAGAAATAAAAACTTTTGCTGGAGTATACTTTTCGTATCTGGTGGAACGTTTAAACAAACACGAACTCAAACTTTACTTGTATGCTATACGATAAAGGTTATGTTTAATTAAAATTCTGAAACGTAGTAATGATTAAATTACAAAAGAGTAAAAGAAATCTTTTAATGATTTATATGAATGTGTTCTTACAAGATTATTGTGATTTGTATTTTTCAGTCTGTTTATTTTATCTTATCTTTTTAACATATTTTTTTCCATGATTTATCTTTAACACAACTACATCCTCATTGTTTATTTTCTTACAAATCCATTACAAAACTTACTTTTCTTTCTGATTGATGTGCGTTAAAAAATTACGCACAAAATTGATGCATACGTGTATTTCTGTGTTAACCATACGTGTTACTTGATTAATAGTGGCAAGATTAAAAACGCGGAACAGTACAAGTGAACCGACAATTCCATATCAAACTAATAGTTTTATGTGAAAAGTTTAGGCAACTGTTGAGTTGACTTACATTGTGTTTTTTGCATGTAGAAGTTAAACGAAGAATCAAAAAGGAAGTTCCACTTGCTAGTGCAGTGATTGACTTGGGTCTTCTTACCATTACTGACTCTAATTACAAGTATAGGAAATCAAATGTCGTTTTGGTACTTAAAATCTTGCTAGGCCAGTTATTGAACAGGTAGGTTATTTCATCATTCATCAATTCTAGATAGCTAACAATGATTTTATTTCTTAAAGGTGTATTTGGTAACCATTCTGAATTCTGAAAACCAATCCAGATTTTGTTTCCATCTTCTGGATTTAATAATGCTTGGAGACGGCTTGAATGTGTAATAAAAAAACTTTAATATAAGTTTAACATAACAGCAAATGTACAATGTTTCGACAGGGTTTTAACCTTGTCAAAATATTGTATTAAACTAAGGATTTTCATTAGGTGTCTATATGGACCTCATTGTTTTTTGAATGGAGGCGATTGAGATAAATCACTTACCTGTGAGCTTTGATTACATTGGTTAGCGTCATGTAAAATGGTTATCCAAAATTACAATTCAGTCAATGTCACAAAACTAATAAACTAATCAAAATTAGTATGTCCAATTAATACTTTGTGATTATTCTAACTATTGAATGTAAAATTACTGTTTTTACATTGTGTTACATTAGAATTTATAACTTGCATAACTGTATTTTTCATTTTGAAATTAGAAATAAATTTACTTTTCCTACATTGTATATGTATTGTGTTTGTAACACCTCTTACATTCCTGAATTTATATCACAGTAGAATTAAACATACAACTCTGTGATCACAGGACAAATGCTTGTGAAGAAGTACTCTTTATCTGTATAGTCTTACAAATCTTTTTACTTGTGATATAATTACAAATGGTGGTTAATTTAATAAAGTGCTGATGTTCCAAATGTGACTCAGTTTTTTGACCAATTAATAATGCCATTTGAAACACCTGTTATAAGTCATATATCTAAACAAACACTGAATCTTTTTACTTTTAGATGGTTGGAGAAGAAGCTAACAAAGATCACTACCCAAGAGCAATGTGCTCAGTATTTACACCTTCTTCATGAAGCTCTGTGGCCCAAATCAGAGAACAATGAAAATAGTGTACCCCAGCAAGATCTGGCTTTTCAAGCACTGAAATCATTTTTTTCATGTATGTTGTAAATATTTCTACAAAGTTACAAAATAAAATTCATTTTAAATAACAAATAACATAAGTTAAAAACTACACTTTTTATTCTAATTTATTTTTTCATTTAGACATTGGAAGATTATGTTCACACCACTTATTAAGTGATATGCATTTAATACTTTCATAAGGTTATTAAATAAGCTGTCAAGTTAATTTTATTCCAAACAAAGATAATGCATTTATGAAAATCAAAAATCTTAATCTCTCTAAAAATGTTCGGCTCTGTAGCGAGTATAATGGAAAAACTGATGTATTTGTTTCTTTAAATTATGTGGCTATTATTCCAAAAGTGATATAATTATTGCATCATTTCTGTCAGTTTTTAGAATCTGTTTTAATTGTACTACAGAGATTGAGTATGTTAAATTAAAACAATTTTGGAGACCCAACATGTTGCTACACCTAGTTATGTTCTATATGATGACCATCCGTATTGACAACAGCATAATTTCCATTTCAAAAAGAGTCAAAAGGATATCATGTCCAAAGCACACCACTTCTTCCAGAATGGTTTCCATAATCAGTTTAATGTACAAGAAAAATGTTTTTCCATCTACCATTTAAACAGTGGAATTACACAGAAATTCATAGGCAATGTATCTGGCACATACTTGACCAGCACGAATTCCCATTTCATTTTTCACCTGCCTGAGGTATGTGATGGTTGAATGGGTATGGAATGGAAGAAACTTCTGTATATATGATGTGACTTGAGACCATTGTTGTGTACTGTTGCCTGAGTCATGTGAATAGCTTTTCTCATTGGTCTTTGTGTTTGTAGATTCTCACCTGCTACTAGACACCACATTTTGCTGATTATGGTTTGGGTACAACTTGTTGCTGGTCGCTTTTTCGATGATCCTAGTGTCTCAAGTTGATCCATATTCTTTTGTTTTCCAATGCTATTATGTACAAGAGATATTTCCATTTTGGAAATTCTAAATACCAATCCAAATACATCTTTATGATTTGATTGTATGAATATTTTTTGTATTGGAAAGGACTGTTGCAAACCCTTTTCAAAAAAATTTTGTTAGCATGATAAAACCTATGAAATGCTGAAATGTAGTCCTAATACATTCCTTTTCACCATGGTTTTATATTTATTGTGATTATCACGTGACTAGCTGATTTGTAGAGCTGGGTATTGCCATAAATTTTATTTTATGTTGTTAGATTTATACCCGTATTTCAATGTGTATTGCATAAGAGTTTAATTTCCAAAGTCATTTTGTCTACTCACTCATTGGTTACATAGACATTGATTAGCTTAGGTTGCAGATTTGTATAACATTTGCACATTGCAAGATGTATGCTATTATTCTATGTACAACTTGATCTAGTCCATGGCAAATCTATGCAACATAATTTTGGCATCAGAAATTCTAATGTGTCTAACCATGATAATGAGGTACCATTCCATTTATCTTCTCTTTCACCCGGATCGATCTTTCCCTACTAACACTTCGGTAGCCTGGGAGGGTAATTCCTCCTCCTTGCCAGTTTCCCTTCCTTCCATTTCCCACCTCTATTCCAGATCTGATCTGAATAGACTTCTATGCTCTTCCTTGTTATATCGCCTGCACAACTTCCTTCTATCATAACTGTTCCCTCCTGTTCATCCCTTGGCAGCTATCATCTGTTTGTGATCTCTCTCTTTCCACCCGTACCAATTGGGCTTGTCTTTTAATTTGATTGGATTATTCTTTCTTGTCTCCTTTTTCCCATCAATTATTCTGGGTGTTTTCCCATCAGATTAGGTCCTTTACTTTTTTTCTGGTGTCTCATCTGCATCATCCTTTGGAGGAAATTCTTCAAGCGGGCATGTGGACCACTCTGCATACTTTCAACTCTCACTATCTGTATATTGTTGCTGTTTCTACCTCGTCAGGTTATTGTTTTCAACCTGTTGCCATTCTTCAGACTTTGGTGTGACTGTAACTGAGTAAGTTTTATTTCTTTTATTATATATATTTTTCAGGGGCCTGTCCCATGTTTCGATCTGGATCCTGCTTTGTGGCGAGTGGTGCCTCCGGGTATACTTCAGTCACATAGAATTGTACTCAAATCCACACTTCACTTTCATAATTTCCATGACCACTAAATGCACACTGTTCTTTACAATCACATTAGCTACAGATGGGTTGTTCCACAAGATCACTTGTAGGCTATTCCTCACAATATCTTTGCTTCATAGATGTGCTTGTTCCAGACTGTGATGAACCATGGACTTCATGGGTAAATCAGAAGGGGATTGCTGCCCATCTCCGCCATTCCTTAGATTGAATAGATCAGGTTTAGTCTGCTTTTCAAAATAGGGTTTCGTGGTCACCCATTGCACTGTCTCAGGTGTGAACATTACTCTAGACTCTCGGCCTTATTTTTCTCACCCCGTTTCTTCCAGTGGATTAAGAGAGTCCTTACCACTTTCCAGTTACAAACCACTGGGGTGGTGGACCATGGAGGTATCTTCCTGAATGAAAGATATACAATATATTTAGTAACAACTCCATTCTTTTGAGAGTAGGGCAGTGGTGTTCTGCTGGTGTAGTTGACAGATATCCTCCAAAAAGATGCTCCCTCTCTGCATGGGCTTATCTGACAGGATGAAATAGCTCAGGAGTGAACCATCATAATAATTGAGATCCCTCATGGAAATTGGTTCCTGTTGGCTAGGTTTTGGATTTAGAGCTGTACCAATCACCCTATTGCCCAAACTCATGTTGTGATGATGGGGATTCCTCAGTCTAGCTCTGCATGGTTGTTAGTTCTTGGCATTTGAGTTTTGGATTTAGAGCCGAACCAGTTAACACCATGTCCTCATACGTGTAGTGTGATTCGGATCCCTCATCCTACTCCGGCATGGATGTCGGTTCCCAGCAGTTGAGTTTTGGATTTAGAGTTGAACCAATCAACATTATGTACTCACACGTGTGGTGTGCTGGCATATATGCTGTTCACTCCTTAAATTGTGATCCCTCATTCTATTCCCGCATGGAAATCAGTTCCCAGCAGTTGAGTTTTGGATTTAGAGCTGAACCAATCACCATAAGTCCTCACACATGTGTTCAGGGGTATCTAGTCCCTCATACATTTTGCCTCATGTGCACTGCCCTGGTGTGGGTCACAGTGGGTGCACTTGTTGGTTGCTCCACCACTTCCTCTTGCACTTACCCTCGATGTCTTTATGCCAAGAATATTGTTTGAGATGGTCTGGTCTGTTTGATTTGAGTGGGATATATTTGTATTTCACTCTGCTCACATGTGTCCTGTTCCTGATCGGTGGTGGGATTTCTCCCTCCGGTTGGCTAAACTTGAGGGAAGACAATATGATCCTCTTTCTTACCCCTGCATGGATGTCGATTCATGGCAGGCGAGTTTTGGATGCAGTTGACTTGCCATGTATGATTCATTGTGCCGTAGCCACTCTACGCGTTGGGGCACATCCCTTATTTTACCCAGATACTATTCTTCAGGGAGATTAAAGTTATAATACATTGTTGTTTGAAGCACTGTTCAACCATTTTCCTCTGCCCAGATCTGTCACAACTTTTCTACATCTGGGCGAAGAGTATACCTGGTACAGAAGTGGTGCCGTAGCCACTCTACACGTTGGGGCACATCCCTTATTTTACCCAGATACTATTCGTCAGGGAGATTAAAGTTATAATACATTGTGGTTTGAAGCACTGTTCAGCTGTTTTCTCTTTCATTGGGATGTGCTCCTCACTATTTTCTGCCCAGATCTGTCACA